CGCATGTTATTAACAAAACACAAATTATCCCTGCTGATAAAGGCTTTCAATTTGAAATTAAATTCAGATTAAATTTGGAAGGAATTTTAAAGAAAAGGATTACTAATTTAAATAAATCATAATAATGACTTGGCCGTCATCCAACTCGATTAACTTTAGAATAATTCATTAAGTATAAATCATAGAACAATATTAGAAACTTGTTTTAAAGGGTGGGAAATCTTCTTATTATTTAAAGCTTTTCTCATAAATGAAAATATCTCTTTTACATTTGGATCATATCTAAAACGTAAACTAGAAATTGAAGGTAAAGAACTTTAAAAAAATGAAAATTTATTGGCAATTAACAATCTTAAAAGGTATTTAGGTTTATAGATATCCAATAAGCTCCTAACTTTAATGTAATAAAATGATGAAAAATTGGAAGAAGTAATTAAAATTTATAGAAATCTTAAATAAGATAAGCAATATGATGATAGTTTAATCATAAAAGTTTCTCATTAATAAATAACAAAGATAATACAAAAATTAGAGCAGTATTTCGAAAACATATAAGATATCATTAAAATCATGAGGCTCAATTAGAACAAATAGAAAGAGATAGGTCAAATTACCAATTTTCAGAAACTTAATGATTTGTTAAGATTATAGGTAGATTTAGAATTATATCTGATTTTGTTTGATAGAAATCAAACACAAAACATCAAAGGCAAAGTCGCCAATAATGAGCTTTTTGATTTGATAACATTAATTACAGATGAACTAAAAAATAAAGATTTTTAAGAGTATAATTTCTCATCCTTTGACTTATCAGCAATCTAACAAAATAGAAATAAAATTTTGAAGGAAGTTGAAAAGCTTGTTGGTATTTATGAAATGGAAATTTACAAATTAATAACAAATTAGTTATTGCAATCTTCTTAGAACTTAGTCAATTATCTACAATCAGAGTATGAAAGCAGGTGCGATGAACTTTAAAAACAATTTTCGAAGCTCAATTTCCACCTTTAAGGAATAATGGTCATTAAGTATTAAATGAAGACAGTCACCTAAATCTGTTAACTTGAAAAAATTAAATAAGTTTTTATTGATATGCATTTACTTAAATTTCTCGAAGACTTAAGATACGAGAATCTAAAGCTAAAATTAAAATTGGTTGCTTTAAAAAGAGCATTTTCATTTATTTTATAAAAAGCTGAACCAGAGGAATTAAGAAAGTTGTCAGAAGTTATAAATGTTGGTGGATTTCTACTAAATATAATTTAAGAATTCCAAAAAGGAATTCAGACCACTAATTTTGAAGCATAACTTCAGATTGAATTAAAAAATATTGAAATAATAAAAAAAGAGGACTTTGAAGATAGATTATCAAAGTAATAAGGAATAGTAAAATACCTCATATTTAAATAAAGTATAAATGAAAAACTGATAGAATAAGATGAAATAGATTTAGAGTTAATTAAGAAGGAATTTGGATAATTATAAATTGAAGAAACTCCTTCTTCTACTTTTGAGAAATTAAAGTAAATTTTTCAAAATCTAAACGTTGATGAATCCTTATAAAGGGTGATGGATGAAAAATTGAATTCATCTTAATTGAAATTGGAATAAGAAAAATATGGTATTTTTTTATCTCAATTAAAACAAATTGGAGATTTTAGAAAATAGATATAGATCAAAAATTGGAATCAATTAATCCAATAAACAGAAACTGTGATTCGAACATTGGAAAATTTTGGATGCCCAGACAAGGAAACTATTAAAATGTTAATTAATGAAGAGCTGATCCTATTAAAATCTATAATAATCTAATAAATAATAAATAATGAGGAATTGTAAGTATCTACATCCCAAAAAGACAACAAAAGAGTTGATACGGAGGGCAATGAAAAATGTCATTAAGTTGAAAAAGTTTAATAGATTGATTTACAAGTCAAAAAAAGTGAAAATGCTAATTAAACATTTAATTTTTATAGCAATGAAAGCTATAGAACTTACCTATCATTCATATTGAAGGTTGTAAAGTTAAAAAAATTAATACTTAAATAATAGATGGCTCTTTTACACAATTTACTTGAAGAAGTTAATTTTTTCTCCAATACAATTAATTAAATTGAAAAATTCAATAAAGAAATTTAAACAAAATTCTAATAAAGATTTTAATTTTGTATTTAAGAATATATTTAGAAGTTTGAGTAATTACAATTTTCATAAATTAATTTATCTTAGAAAAAAGATGAAAATTTTCATTTGTACTTAGAAAGTTTGGAAGCCAAGTTATTTAAAAGGATAAATGATGAAGAGATTATTCAAATTAATATAAATATCTTTGATTTTCTTAATTGTTTGGAAGTTTATTTACGAAATAAATTAGTTTAAAAAAGTACATTTTCAATTAACTAAGTTGAGGAAGATTGTTTATATCAATTAATAAAAAAAATATACTTACATTAAGACAGTGAAAAAGTAGATGATGTGGAGGAGTCAAAAGAAAAATTTGGGTTCTTAGATAATCTCGTTCAAAGGTTCAAAGACTTTACAAATAATGAATAATGGAAAATTAAATAGGGTCTAGTGTTTACTATAATTTAGATATCTTCTAATTGCTTTTCAGATTCCATAACTTCTTTTTGTTAGAAAGTTCTTATCTAATTATGGGTTTAAGAAAAAGATCTAAGAGTTAGAAATATTTTAAAAAATAAAGACTTGATAAGTATGTAAATGTAGATTTTGTAGAAAGATTGGTAATCTTAACACAATAGAATTGCAGGTAAAATGTAGGAGATGTTGAGAAGAATTGATGAATTGTAGGAATAAATTTCTCATGAGGCTAATCTCAACAAGCGAGATATATAACTAAAAGAACTTGATGAAACAACAGAGCAATTAGATTAATAAATTGAAAATATCAGTGAAATGGGTTAATAACTGAGACTGGTAACTGACTTTGTTAATCATATTAGAAAAGGTTTGATG